ATTCACCTGCCTTGGCCTCCCAAGGTGCTGGGATTATAGAAGTGAGCCACTGCACCCAGACAAAGAAAACATAATTTATTTTTTATTTTTGAGATAGGGTCTCACTCTGTCACCTCGGCTGGAGTGCAGTGGCACAATATCGGCTCACTGCAACTTCTGCCTCCTAGGTCTAAGCGATTCTCCTGCCTCAGTCTCCCAAGTAGCTGGGATTCCAGTCATGCACCATCATGGCCTGCTAATTTTTATATTTTGGGTAGAGAAGAGGTTTCACCATGCTGGCCAGGCTGGTCTTGAACTCATGGCCTCAAGTGGTCCACCCACCTTGCCCTCCCAAAGTACTGGGATTACAGATATGAGCCACCACACCTGGCCTAAAGAAAACATTTTAATGAAATGAATAATTATTAGCTCCAATAATATATACAGAAAAGTACTAAAAAAACAGTAAACATAGAATACTATGTGGCTTATTAGAGCATAATATTTATGGACATAATAACAAAGGCAGCTAATATGGATTTAATAAAAAGTTTAGATATGACATTAAAAGGATGGAGGGAAGAAATGGAGTGTGAAATAAATTCCTCATTTTCTGAAACAGGAAGTCAAGAGAGGGGTTGGTTCTAAGAGTGTCTGTAGGAGTTCAGTCAGGGTGGTGGGAAAAACCGTAAAATAGATACAAACCTTCTTGGAAGGTCAGGTGGTTTTTGCAAAAGCCTTGGGGAGGAACGAGCCAAAGCTGGCAGTTCTTTTCTAGAGGCAGTTAGGTAGAAGTAGGTACAAAGGAAATGTGGGGGAGTTTATCTAAAGAACTTGTTTACTCATGTGGTCGTAAGACTGACCGTTGAACATCCAGGGGAGCATGACTGCTCTCCACTGGGGGAGAAGGTGTCCACAATGTTATTACTCACAAACGGTGTTTGCCTTAGGACTTGGAACCTGGCCTGTAATCACTAGTCACAAGTATGTTGACTCAAAGCCTCTGTCATTAAATCTATACTGAAAAAATGCCTGGAGTGCCAGCTGGTCAGGGATGCAGCTGTAACTCTTTACAGCACCCTCCTTGGAGTCTGTAAGCTGCCTGGACTCCCAGCTCACTCTTTCACTGAGTATCTGTGTCCGAGTGCGTTTGTTCATCCATCACTGGGTCAGGGTCTGCCAGTTGGATCTGGCAAGTGATGAACCAGGGGACAGCAACAATCAGGTATGGTGGCTCACTCCTGTAATCCCAACTATGTTGGGGGCTGAAGTGTGAAGATTATTTGAGGCCAGAAGTTCAAGACTAGTCTGGGCAACACAGTGAGATCCCATCTCTACAAATAAAAAATAAAAAAAATTAGCCAGGAGTGATAGTGTATACCTGTAGTCCCAGCTACTTGGGAGGCTGAGGCAGGAGGACTGCTTGAATTAAGAAATTTGAAGCTACAGTGAGCCATTAATGGGCCATCACAGTTGTGGCCTGGGCATCTCTGTTAAAAATAATGAGATTGCAATAATATTTAGAAATAGAAAAAGAGATTTACACCAACATGTCTAAAAGTGGTTGCCTCGGCAACAGAAAGACAGATGAAGGTCAAAGGGATAAAAAGTTGGTTTTCTTATAAGCCTTTTTTCCCTATTTGACTTCTTAAAAAATATTTTTTAAGGCAAAACGAATAAGGGTAGTCAGAGAAGGAATGAGAAGCCTTTTATTCAAGTGTGTTTCTAAACATCAACTGGGAGCTTGTTAATGTAGTATCTTCAACCCAGGCCATATCTACAGAATCTGCCTGCATTTTAATGCCATCTCCTGGTGATTCATATGCCTGCTGAAATTTGAGAAGCACTTGTCTAGTAGTCATAGAACAGGGAGGCTGAGATGAGATGCCTCAGCCTATCACGGTAGTAAAGGTGAGGAACTGAAGCAAGATTGATGAAGCACACAAGATTATAACTCAGCCCATCATTTGAGGTAACTTCACCCTTTACCCTTGCCTACACCTTCTTAACATCACTGCTCTGTATTTCTGGAAAGCCTTAATCTTCTTGCTTCCCAAATTTCCTGCCCTGGTCATCACTTTTTTCATAATATGATTTTACCTCTTTACTTCACAAAATCTATCTTTACAAATTTTGTCAAATAGCAGTTGCATGTATTATTGTTCTCAAATTATCTCTATTTAATTACCAAGACCATGTAACACTCAATAAACTCGATGTTCAATTAAGCTTAGCAACTGGGTTCTTTCAAATCTTCAAGTTACATTCTGGAACAGATGCATGAAGAATTGTAAGTAAGTAGAACAGCCGACTCTCCAGTAAAGGAAGGAGAGATACAAATACAGATAACAGCTTTGATGGGGTAAACCCACAATTATAATAGCTTTTAGAGAGTGGTCCTTGGGTACAGTGGCTCACACTTACAATCACAGCACTTTGGGAGGCTGAAGCAGGAAGACTGCTTAAGCCCGAGTTTGAGACCAGCCTGGGCAACAAAGGAAGAACCCCATCTCTACAAAAAAAAATAATAATTAGCCAAGTGTGGTGGCATGCACCTATAGGCCCAGCTACACAGGAGGGTGCTGTGGGAGGACCACTTGAACCCAGGAGTTCAAAGTAGCAGCGAGCCCTGATTGTGCCAGTGCTCTCCAGCTTCGGTGACAGAGCAGGATCCTGTCTCAAAAACCAACCAACCAACCAACCAAGAAAACTCCCCACCAAGACAGTGGCCCTCTGATGATTCCACTAGAAGTGAAGACTAAGCTAAATAAGGTGTTAGGTAGACCAAGAGAAATCTTTGATCACCAGTCCCACTAAACTATGTCTTTATTATACTTTTTTATCCCAAGTTTTGAAAGATTTGTAAAGCTTCCATAAATGTTTCAAGGGGAGTTATGCAATTAATACATTACATAGGCCCTTTGTTGCATTAAGTGTAAAATGGGTACTGAAAACAAAATCTAGCTAAACAATAGCTGGTCTTTAGACCATATCAAAATGATTCTGTAATATTAAAAAACACTAAGAATAAAAATCAACTAGTTGCCGGCACAGTGGCTCAAGCCTGTAATCCCAACACTTTGGGAGGCTAAGGCGGGTGGATCACGAGGTAGAGAGATTGAGACCATCCAGGTCAACATGGTGAAATCCCGTCTCTACTAAAAATACAAAAAATTAGCTGGGCATGGTGGCGCGTGCCTGTAATCCCAGCTACTCAGGAGGCTGAGGCAGGAGAATCACCTGAACCCAGGAGACGGAGGTTGCGGTGAGCCGAGATCGCGCCATTGCACTCCAGCCTGGGTAACAGGAGCAAAAACTCCGTCTCAAAAAAAAAAAAAAAAAAAAAAAAAAAAAAAAAATCAACTGGTTTTAAAAATAATCAGAAAATTGTGGTATTATAACTTGAGAATACAGAGTCTGGTTTAAGCATAAAATTAAGTTCCTTCAGACACATAAAAATTACAACTCTATCAAAAGCTGATTTTGAAGCCATTCAGAAGCAAGGCTTAATTACAAAGTTTCAAAAAAAAAAAAAAAAAAAAAACCCTCTCTGATTAAAGATTTTATCTCCTTTATTAAAGTGAAAATTAATCTAGGCAAATTAGCTTTTCTTTGAAGTGACTCTTGTATATTAGTCAGAGTTCTCCAGAGGGACAGAACTAATAGAATGTATGTATACATGAAAGAGAATTTATTAAGAATTGACTCGCACAAGCACACGGTGAAGTCCCACAATAGGCCATCTGCAAGCTGAGGAGCATGGAAGCCAGTAGTGGTTCAGTCTAAGTCCAAAGCCTCAAAAGCAGGGAAACCAACAGCACAACCTTCCGTCAATGGCTGAAGGCTGGAGAGCCCCTGGCAAATCACAGGCGTAAATCCAAGAGTCCAAAAGCTGAAGAACCTGGCATCTGATGTCCAAAGGTAGGAAGCATCCAGCACAGGAGAAAGATGAAAGCCAGAAGACTCAGTGAACCAACTTATCCCACCTTCTTCCACCTGCTTTGTTCTAGCCGCAGTGGCAGCCGACTGGATGGTATCCACGCACACTGAGGTTGTCTGCCTCTCCCAGTCCACTGACTCAAATGCCAGTCTCTCTGGTAACACCCTCACAGACACACCCAGGAACCATACTACTTTACAAGCTATATAAGCATCCTTCAATCCAATCAAGTTGACATCTAGTATTAACCATCACACCTTGCAAACAAGCTGTTTGAAGTTATTTTAAAGCACTGACAAGATGTTGCTTTTTAGGCTGGGCGTGGGGGCTCACGCCTATAATCCCAGCACTTTAGGAGGCCGAGGCAGGTGGATCTCTCTTATCTAGGACTTTGATATCAGCCTGGGCAACACAGTGAAACCCTGTCTCTACAGAAAATACAAATATTAGCCCGGTGTTGTGGCACATGTCTGTAGTCCGAGCTACTTGGGAGGCTAAGGTTGCAGTGAGCCAAGATTGTGCCACTGTACTCCAGTCTGGCCGACAAAGGGAGACCTTGTCTCAAAAAATTTTTTTAAAAAGATGTTGCTTTTAAATCATCATTATATCAAGGAGGAATTAGTATTTATCCACATAAGAAATTATTTACTTTGTGCTGTCCTCTCAATCACCAGTTATTGGTAGAAGATTTTGAAAATGATCCCTACAAGAGAATAGGGAATTTGTAAAACAAGTGATTCTATGGCCCAGAACAGTCTGCCATAAACAGATATTTCTCTGAAAACTCATTTTTTCTCTTTTAAAAATTTGTGCAAAACCACTCTATAACAGATCCATGGTTTTTGTTTGAAAAGGTTATAGATCCAACATTAAGTAAAAATGACACTCCTGCAGGTGTTTCTCCTCTAACTGAGAAGCCAGCACCCAGCTGACAGCCCAGTTTAAGAATAGCACAATGATGCTGCACCCACCCCATCTCCCCCGATCCCACATTCTATTTGCTGTAAAACTGTAACACTGAACCACATAATCTGTCTCAGGCATGTATGTGTACATGTGAGGGACACAGCAATCTTGAAACTTATGTGAATAAATTCTTTTTTAATTTTTACACCATAATTCTAGTTTTCATATTAATTGAATTTGAAAATTTTTTCAACTGCATTAAATTTATAAAAAAGTTCTCCCACATTACACCAAAGCATTTCTGATGTTTCATTTCCAGTAATCAGGTGTGGAATGAGTAAAATCAGTTCACTGGCTCTCTTTTAATTAACTCCTTCAAATGCACATTGTTTAAAAACTGACTAGGTCAAAAATGGTTGTACCTACAGGTTGACCTATTTGGACTCTGCCAAACTCCTCCAAGTTCAATATAAATTGATGTTTTCAGAGTACAAAATCAATGTCATGGAAACACTGCTCCTCCTTTTCCATGGAGCCAACTTGGGCAAATCTTTTTCATTAAAATTCTTCTTCTGCCTGTTTGCTGCGGGACTCCTTGAGCTGTTGTAGCCGCTCCATAGTTTCAGAAATGGTGTGTTCCCCGTGGACCTTATTGTCTCTTGTGCGGATATTAACAGTGCCACTGATTTTCTCTTTTTCACCAACAACTAAAACAAACACACAAAGCTTTGTCAGACTTAACTTTAAGATATGGAAGGATTCACACTGAACATCTAAAAAGAAATGATCCTATGATTCAAAAGCTACCCCAGAACTTCGGATACATTAAAAGTTACAAGTGACCATGTATTAATATTAAAAAAAACAAAAAACTCTGCAATATCTAAAACTACTGTGCTTAGTAAGTCAATCCAGAAAACTTAAAAACAAAGTAACAAAACCTTAAACATCATGAATACCTTTTTTCAAGTAATTCCACATAAGGAATTATCTTGAGAAAGTAATCAAACAGATGTATTTAAAACAATGCTTCTTCATTCCTGTTACAATGCCAAAATATTTTTTTCACAAAAATCCATGATTTTTTTTTTTTTTCTTTGAGACAGTCTTGCTCTGTCGCCAGGTGCCAGGCTAGAGTGCAGTGGTGCGACCTCAGCTCACGGCAACCTCCGCCTCCTGGGTTCAAGCAACTCTCCTGCCTCAGCCTCCCAAGTAGCTGGGACTACAGGCATGCGCCACCATGACCAGCTAATTTTTGTATTTTTTTAGTAGAGATGGGGTTTCACCATGTTGGCCAGGATGGTCTCGATCTCTTGACCTTGTGATCTGCCTGCCTCCACCTACCAAAGTGCTGGGATTACAGGCATGAGCCACTGCACCCGGCCCAATCCACAATTAAGTGGGGAAAAAAAAAAAAAAAAAAAAAACAGTATGTAGGCATGAGCCTATTTTTATAGTTATTATATATTAAGATATATGATCAAAAAAAAATATCAGGACTGGAAGGAACTAAATAAATTCTTGAGTACAATTCACTTAAGCCTGTCTCAAGGCTTCAGTAGATTTTCCTGAGGTCTGGCAAGTTTTCTCTGTAAGTTTCCTTTCTTACCTAAAATGAAGTTATACTGTGCTAACTGTGCATTTCGAATCTTCTTATTCAATGTACAGCCTGGATCCAGATCAACATCCGCCATGAATTTAGCATCATGGAATTGTTGCCGTACCTATTGTAACAGAGATACAGAATTCATCAGATCTAAAATTAGATTATATTTTGATCTTCCATGATTTTATTGAACACAGGGCTCAGGATTTCGTGAATGAACGTTCAGGAATTTAAAGGTGACAAAACTATTCAGATAATATTATTCAATGCCATTTTTTCCCCTCAAAAAGGCTGGTTCCTCTTTGTTGCCTCAGGTCATGTATACCAAGTAAACAATGTCTTCATTCTTCTTCTTTTCCAAAAAAGCAATATACTAATTATATTTTATTAATTTTAAATTAACTAGATTAAACTTCTCATTACCCTAATAACCTATTATTAATATGACAAAAAGACCTAACCGAACAATTTTAATTTCACTGTCATTTCATATGAACCTAGATTGCAGATATGAAAAAAATCACGTGATCAACACCTGAAAGAAATGATCTTCAACTGAATAAATCTTAACTTCTGAGTATCAGAAAGTTTATCAGGTTATCACAGGCATTAGTCCTTTAACTTTAAAATGGGATAATAAAGATTTAATAGTCTACAGTAATTTAGATTACAACAAATTAACAATAATATAAAAAATATGTTTCCGTTCAACCTGCTATGAGAATTCAGCCTTTTACCTTCAAATCACTCTACACCTGGCAGAAACCTGTGTCCTTACAGTGGCCATTAATGCAAAGGAGGAGCAGAAGAGTTGGAAGAAGCTGGCGTTCCTTCCTCATCTCTGCCAGAGACAATACTCTTGGGTTTTCCTGCAAAGCCATGTGAGCAGTGACTGCCTATCCTCCTTTTACAGACACATAAGTTATGGTGTCTACTAGGAGAATCCACCCAACGGTGGCCACAATTCCACCCAGACCCCTAAGAAGAAGGGTCAGAGTTTCTGGAAGTCCTTGTCAGAAAGCAGAATGAATTTTTCCATGGAAACACCTTAAGTACAGCTGAAGGTGAAATACTATCATACTCTACTTAAGTATCACTGGTAAAACCAGCATTCTCTCATTGACCTAGGTGACCAAATATTTCTTTCAATTTTTGATTGAAAAAGATTCTAAATGATCTACAACACATTCATTTCACAAACATGAGTTATGTGTAAACTAAGGGTTATTTATGTATGTCAAGTGTTTATTTCCATTTAAGGGATACTTTTTGAAACAATATAAGTGACTTTGCCTATACTGTGCGCAAGCCTTAGTGCTTTAACCAGTAGATTTTTCAGTCACAGTGATCACGAACCAATTAACCTGTTGAAATTTTAAAACATCTATTTCAGAAGGGTCCTTATGGAATTTTAGAATGCCAGGATAGGTCTACATCTTCAACTTGTAACTACTTTAAAGAATAAAGTACCAATTTTTTCATTTTTCTCAACATGGGTTGTGTGTGTCCATGTGAGATGGGCAATTCTGCAGTTGGGGAAGTGGCCTAATAATTATAGGGCATTTAACATGTCTGCTCTATAGTCACCAGGTTATCAGGAGTACTGCCCTGTCTTCTCTCCCCCTAAACACACAAAGCTTACCACCACATTATTCCAAATGCCACCCTACCCCCAAAAGGAAGTGAGGAAGTCAGTGCTGTCTCCAGTTGAGAACTCAGTTAACCAATATAGAACTTTTTCCTACTGTGTGAGCTTTCACGTGCAAATAAGATAAAGCATTCTCAACCGTGGAACAGAACTTTGATTCTCATCATTTCTAACTAAAACTACTGTGTGCAGTACTAGGAATAGTCTGAATGGTTTATCTATTAGATAGTTTAATGTTCACTTCATTTTTTTTGAGATGGAGTCTCACTATGTTGCTCAGGCTGGAATGCAGTGGCTATTCACAAGCACAATCATCACACCCTGCAGCTCGAAGATCCTCCCGCCTCAAGCTTCCAAGTAGCTGGGATTACAGGTATGTATCACCACACTCAAGTTTATTTATTTCTTAAGGATAGTTAAGACCCAAGTGTGGTTTATTCTGATGGTCTGGAGGCATGATGGTTTTATAGTACTGTTCACTGATCAACTTTTAATAATTTGAAATTCCTTAGTACGGAATTTTCACTATGGCAGAACAGATTGTTCTGTGCTTTAAAGTGAAGTTATAAATGGCTATACATTTGTTGGTAGGTTAGTTTTTTGGTGGGAGGGGTAACACATTGGTCTGCTATGCCACTAACCTGAAAAAAAGTTTCAAATGGCTGAAGAAATTTACATTAAAATGAAGCAAAATTACTCTTTGAGTCAAAAAGCAGCTTAAACTGTATTTTGAACTAGAATTTATCTATCATACTGAAGTACTTGACATCTGCTAATTTAGTTTTTTAAAATACTAAATACTAAAATATACAAGTGTAACTGGGTGCGGCGGCTCCTGCCTGTAGTCCCCGCTACTTGGGAGGCCGAGGTGGGACGATTGCTTGACCACAGGAGTTTGAGGTTACAGTGAGCCATGACTGTACCACTGAACTCCAGCTGAGGCAAGAGAAAGATATCAACCCTTAAAACAAATACAATAAAATATAAAAGTGTATATAAAACACCATCCAAATACATCTTCCAATTACGGAATCATGTAGAAAGCATTAAAGAAGTAATATAATCTATTCAAGCTTAACAAAGATTAATAATAGTAACATTTCTCTATATCACAACAGCTCGATTCACCAAGAATACAGGGCTTATGTGACTTGAAAAGCTTAACAAAAGATATTAAATTGAAAGAAAATTCATATCTAAGGCTTACCTTTTGGGCATATTCATCACAGGTTGGTCCCACGGGAACTACCATTACCTGGCGAGGGGACAGCCAGAAGGGCCTTTGGAAGAGAATAAAAGTACTCAATGTAGATGTGAACACATTCACTAAACAAAGACAGCACATTTTTTAATCTACTCTTATTCGGTATCCTTTCCTGAAACATGTAAGGACTACTTTTAAAACTTGGCTTAAAAAAACCCCAAAATGAAAAAAACCTAGCCAATAAAGATTAAGGCAAAGAGACTCAGGAGAAGAAAACTAACCCTACATAATGAAAGCTTGTAACTACGATTTGTCTTGCTAAGCAGACAGCAAAGCAAATTGATACGACCAGGCCTCACACTTTAATACAGCACATTAACAAAATACCATGTATTGGCTGAGAGGAAGTAACAAACTGTTTAATAACTGCATGTAGTGATTAACTGTTCAAGAGTATTTTATTACTTATTCTTCATGGGGGACAAAGTGCCTTCAGTTTACTCAAAATCCATTTGCACCATTCAACAAATTGTAAGTGATAATAACTGGCTATGGCACTTGGTAAAAATGTGGGTTTTCACTACTCATTTAAAAATAAGCTTATACGTAATTCTCTCTTTGAAGCAATTCAAGTATAAAATGCTTCGGATGAAGTAAACACTAGGTCAATGTTTCCGTCATTCCACTATTTTCGGATGTTCTGTTTATCAGCCAAAAAACTAAAGTAGGCACTAAATTCTACCTTAATAATGAACTTTTCCCCACCTACAATAGGTTTAGCAGAGCAGTTAGCTGAGGATTCCCTCAATTCTTGAAATATCTTGTAGAGAACGTGTCTCACATTTTGTCTGACTCTTCTAAAGAGATTATCTTACATCACTGACCAGCATGAGAAAACTGTCCTAATTTCTGAACTAACCAAGTTCAAATAAAACTGAAATGACAGTAATGTGTAAGATTAAATCAATTTACATCATTTTATGCAAGTTTTAAATCACTAAGATTAGTATGGCAGCCTTTACAAATGGATGCTTTTATAACCCTGTACTACTTTCAAATGCATTGTGGGTCCAGAAAAAACTGCTTAAGAAGTAAGATGAAAGGTATGTGGTCATGTATCTTGGCCAACAAAACCTTAGCCTCATAGAAACTAGTCATAAAATGTTGACTGGTTTGGCATCTGTTTTAAAACATACTTGGCTTTTAAAACATGTCAAAATACTTGCTTGTTATGATTAGTAAGGCTGAATGAAGAAAGTCATAAGCCTACTCACTTATCTATGTAAAACCAGCAAAGCCGTCTAAATCCCAAAACAAAGTCACTAGAAAAGCAACCAAAGCAGTAAGTATACTTTCACAGAAAATAAGTCCGAATTAGAAAGTATTACACAACATTCAAACAAATCATGTTCTGGAATTAAAGTAATTACTATTAACAAGCATTCTTCATGCTAAAAAGTTTGTGTTTAGATTGTGATTCCTTACTTTTTAAAGAACACTTGTCATTAGTTAGAAGCAACTGATTGGAATCATCCTCCCTTTCTATCTGATAATTAAATGGAAAAGTAGACATTTCTTGTAGCCAATTTATACTAATCAGACAAAAACAAAACAATGATAGAAATTACCATTTGCCCCCATAGTTTTCCGTGAGGATAGCAATCATTCTTTCCACTGACCCCAAGATGGCTCGATGAACAATCACTGGCCTTTTCTTATCATCACCATCATGGCTATGAAGAAAAAGAATTTGTTTTGTCTTGTTATATATATTTTCCTTTATGCATCCTTGGAGGACCATATTCAGAGCAGACAACAGAAACTCACCTTACAAAAGTAAGATTAAATCTGATGGGCAGCTGAAAATCCAGTTGGATGGTTGCACACTGGTGGTACCGCCCAATCGCATCTTTAATCTGTATGTCAATCTAAGAAGCAAATACTGGGTTATTATAAAAAATGCCAGTGATACTAAAGCGGAGCTCAGTAGTTGGATTAGGACTGGTTTTTCTTTTTTCCAACTTTTTTCAAAGTCTTATCTTCTTCATCCACAAATGAAAATCCCATAACCCAAACATACTTTAGTGCTCACCTTCGGACCATAGAAAGCTCCGTCTCCAGAATTTAACTCCCACTTTTCACCAAATTCATTCAGACTGTTTTCAAGTTGCTGTGGATAAAGCAAAATGATTTTTACTTTTTTTTTCTGCAATATCTCTTCTTCCAGCCTAATTTGAGACTAAAAATACAGTAATTACTCATAGATCAATATTCTCTGCTTTAGAATTTTGTCTACCTGAACATATGCTCAAACCAACCCCTTTTTAAAGCTTATAGCTTGATAACTAAAAAAAGCCATTAAAACATTCAACCATTTCTAAAATACATAATCGCAAAGGAAAAAAACTAGCTTACTCAAACCTAGGAACCATTTCCAACTTCCTTTTGCTTTTATCCATTTAGAGAGGCTTGGCTTTCTTACATCTTGGAACAAGCCAATTTCAAACAGTATTCAAAAGCATGCTGAAAAACACCACTTACTTTCTCAGCTTGATTCCATACTTCAATATCTCCAAGGAATTTTTCCGGGCGAGTAGAAAGGTTCAGTTTAAAAGAAAATCCAAATACGCTATACACCGTACGTAGAAAATCCAAACAACCTTTTATTTCATCTTCAATCTTTAAATTTTTTTTAAAAAAGAAACAGTAGTTATTTTCCTTGACTTTCTTGACACTTCTTTCAAAGTATTTTATTCCACAGGGTCTCATACCTGCTCCACGGCACAGAATATGTGAGCATCATCCTGCTGGAACCTTCGTACCCGGGTGAGTCCTGTGAGTGCCCCAGACAGCTCATTCCTATGAAGTACCCCAAAATCAGCTAGCCGCAGAGGCAGCTCTCGCCAGGACCTTGGCCGATGATCAAACATAAGGCTGAAGAGAAAAACAAAAGTCCACAGACACTTAAGAATAAAACTGTTTCTGTAATGTTGTATTTAATTACATGAAAGGTTTTCAAAAAGCCACTGATTCTAGTTGTCCATCAGGCAGCAGTTCTCAAATTCTGGGCTTATACAGCAATAAAAGCACTTGCATGAATAAAACAGTAAATTAATTATAATTTAACAAACCATAGCTAAGAATAAAAAATGTATTCCAGTAAGCCTGGAGTCAAATCCTTGTGACCCGTATTTCGTTAATTTGAAAGACTGCTATTGAGAGTCCTCTAATAGGATCAAACGTTAAAAAAAAAAAAAAAAAAAAAACTTGCAAAAATAAAGAGAAAAAAAAAAGCCACATACAAAATTGTTTATAACACTGAAAACTAAAGTTTGATTTGCTCTCTTGTCAGTCTCAAAATTGCTCCAGCTTCCTTGTAAGACTGACGGTACTTCAGAAATTGAAGAATCTGGGAAAATTAAGAGTGAACTTGGTTGGTTCCATGGCCTATCATACAGCTTCTTCACGAAGATTTCTCTCTCAGCTCCTGTGCCCTACAGGCCTGTTAGTAGGAGCTGTGGACACTGAGCTACCTTTATCCACAGCTTTCTGTGTCTTCCCTTAAGCTGCTCTTCACCCAGCTTTCAAAGACAAAAAGCAGAGCAGCCTCACGACAAGGAACATTTTCCAAGAATGCTAAGTTATTAGTAGTAGGTTTTGACAGAACAAGTTTCTTTGAAAAAACAACAACAAAAAACCACATTAGATCATTTGTTACACCCCCATATTCCATCTTTATGTTCTGCCTTGCTCATTCCTATAATCCCAGTATCATTACTGAATGCCCATAGATCTGGAGCTCTAGCTGGGCATGGTGGCTCATGCCGGTAATCCCAGCGCTCTGGGAAGCCAAGGTGGGAGGAGAGCTTGAGGCCAGGAATTTGAGACCAGGCTGAGCAATGTGGCAAGACCTTATCTCTACAGAAATAAAAAGTAAAAAGTTAGCTGGGCATGTTGGCATATGCCTGCAGTCCCAGCTGCAGTGAGCTATGATTGCATACCAGCACTCCCGTCGGGAGACCTGTCTCTTTAAAAAAAAAAAAAAAAAAAAAAAGATCCGGGGATCTAATCAGGCACAGAAGATGTAATACAACAATGATGTTGCATTTAAATGCTCTTCTGACACATAATTTATTTTTAATGAAAACGTTGTTAAAGAAGAGACTGAACCCAGGATGAATTGTAGCCTGTGAAAATCTTTAACAGGAATTCAAAGCTGCCAAATACCAGTGTCCTGGGCAGTTCATAGGTTTCAGAGCAAACTGCTCTTTCTCCACCTCAAAGGAAAACATGTTCTCGCTGTAGTGCTGCCAGTGGCCCGAGGTCATCCAGAGTCGGCTGTTGTAGATGTTCGGGGTAACTACCTCCTGGAATCCTCTTTTCCTATATTCACTCTGATAGAAAATAAACAAAACACATGCGTAGGCATGCCATGATTCACAAATCCCACTTCTAAGTACATACCAAAGACAAAACTCTCGGCACATGCACATCAAGAGGGTCACAAAAGCGATGCTACCACAGCATGGCTGATAACAAGGGACAATTCTACACCAGCGTCCATCAATACAGGGATGAGTGCACTGTGGTAGTTATATAACAGAATAATATGTAACAAGCAAAAATACACTGGATTTGTACGTCTAAAAATAAATCACAGTACAGTCTGATACACAATGAGGCTTCCTGTATGTAACACATAAATACATAAATAATTTAAGGGTACAAATACATAGGCCAGATGTAAATAACATGGACAAAAAGAATCCATGCGAACTTCAAAACTGGTATATAAGATGCCAGCATAAGGATATATATAATATACCAGTATATGGAGATAGATGCATCAGAAAGGGGTCCTAAAGACAGGCATTTAAACAACTTTTTTAAATATCGTGAACAAAAAAATCTCAAGCAAATATAGCTCAATGTTAAGTATTTGTTGAACTTGGGTAGTAAGTACACAAGATAGTGGTTATACTGTTCTCTGTAAACTTGTATTTGAAACATTTCATAATTTACAAAGAAAAAACGCAACATAAAAACTGTTTTTTCAAAAAAACACAAATGAATGATCAAAGCCAAAGAGGACTCCTTATCAAGGACCACAGGTCCCCCTTCAAGCTCACCAGCTTCTGTGTATATGGGCAAAATCACCTATTAGGAATGATTTATAAGACCACAGACTTCTATTTTTACTTATCGTTTTATGTGTTTCTTCTCAAATAGAGATTATCTTTCCTTTTAGTAGACCTTATTTAATAAAAAGATCATATATTCTAAATCTGAAAAAGAAAGCGGTAAATATGACTTACCCTAATGAAATCAATAAGGGCGTTATAAATGTAGGCTCCCTTCGGCAGAAAAAAGCAACTTCCAGGGCTGAGTTCATGAAAGAAATATAGTTCTTGGTCCTGGGTGAAAAAAAAAAAGCAAAAAATGTTTATGTATGTCATGTATATGTGTGTGTATATATATACATAAATTTCAGTGTTCTGGAGCTCAGAATATGGTCATGATGTGCCATATTTCAATCAGTACCAATCCTGAATCAAAGAAACCACATCAGTGTTGAAGGTCATACAGAATTGCAGCAGATTTACAATTTGGCAGATGTGTAACACATGCCCTTCCTGTTACATTCCTCAATCCAATCAAGTTTCCCCAGCAGTAACAGGGAGTAAGGATCCCTCAGTTCTCTTACTATTCACTACAGTACCTCTTACGGTTCTTAATTCCTTAAAGCTCCAAGGTCTAGATGTTTTTTCATTTTCATTATTATTTTTTTTTTTCTTAATTAGAGGGTAAGGAAAATGAAATAGATGATGATAAAGTTGGCTAACTTTAGGTCATGGTTAAAGAAACACATCCTCCTACCTTCTTGCCCAACATTCCCCCACACCAACCAAATGCCCAAAAGCCCCCAGGGAAGGGTCCACCAATCATTGCTGGCTGCCTCATGGCTGGAATATCAGGTAGTCAGGGGTAAAAGGGAATGGCTGATATCTCCAGCTCAAGCTTAATAACTTAACAGCCACAGACCTCAGGCACTATTTTAGGGAGAAATGTTTTATCGAGCCCAACTTCCAGTTCAGAGGACATTCAGGAGTAACAGAGATAATGGGTAGAGGAAATGACAGCACAGAATCCATGTGTGACATGTTATGTACCTTGGGCAACAAGTAGGTTATCCTTTGTGGGACTCTGTTTCCACATTTTAAATGAGTCAATGAGACTAAATTGTTTCCAAAGTCTAGTTCTCCCAGCTCTACCAGAGGCTGTATACTTCTTTTACGGAAAACTGTAGATCAAATCAGCATTTGTTCTCAAAAGTAGTTCAAATGCATTTTTGAATGGTATTGAACACACTCCAGGCAGATAATGTGGACAATCAGTAAGTATTTACAGCTCGTACAGGACATAGCACCAGTTACTAAAAAGCTACATTATCTCTTCAAAACAAAATTCTAGTACTTCATACAGCTAAATTTCAAACTTCAAATGAAACTGAAGATAACTCAGTCTAGACACATCATTGTTGTTGAACATACCCTGCCAATTTTCCTATGATCCCGGTTTTTAGCTTCCTCTTGGAACTTCTCCCACTCTTTCAACATTTTAGGATCTGGGAATGAAATGCCATAAATTCTCTGGAGAGTCTCCATATCTGCTTTGCCTTCCCAGTACGTGGAGGAATTCTGAAAACAAGGATTAACCATCAAACAACATTCAAATTTGTAAACATCTCATTTATTTTAACTCCCAATTGCTCTGAGGCCTTGTTCGAGTAGTTACTCATTCTGCAGCACAAAGTTGGCTGTTTTCTTCCCTTGAAAATGCCCCTCCCTCCATCCGCAGGTGTGTACAGTGGCTCACACCTGTAATCCCAATATTTTGTGAAGCTGACGCAGGAGGACCCCTGGGGCCCAGGAGTTCGAAACCAACCTGGGCAACACAGGGACACCCTGTTCTTTACAAAAAAAAGAAAATTAGCCAGGCATGGTGGTGTGCGCCTATGGTTCCTGCTACTCAGGAGGCTGAGGCGGGAGGACCGCTTGAGCCTAGAGTACAGATCTCCGCTCACTGCAACCTCCATTTCCCAGGCTCAAGTGGTCCTCCACTCTGTCTTTTTGGGGCAACAGAGTGAGACCCAGTTTGGGCAACACCCCTAAAACTGCCCACCCCTCAATACTCAATCAACCACAATTCCACAAACGTTGCTTTGCCTGCAAAGGCATTTCTCCCAAAATGATTGAGCAGAAATAGAAATGAACCAATTTAAAAAATCTTGAGATGACTCAATTATTCTCTTGATTTAAAGTGCATTTTAATAACCTACATAAAATGTTTATGAACTAGTATAAAACTGACTGGGTTTTATAAAAAGAACAACTTGGGGAATGATTAATTTAGACATACGAGGGGCAAAAGCACATACTCCTACAGTGAGTCTCAGAACTTTCCGAGCCAGGATGGCTCATGCTGTATAATTCCGTAAAACCTCCATCCCCTGTGCTTGCTCTGGCCAGTCACTCCTTGAGGGAATTTCAGTTACAAAAACCTGATGACAGACAGCTCCCAGCTAATAGATAGCATGAGAAAACATCATCCTTTCATGTGCAACAGAAAATGATCAAGAGAAATCAGTCAAAGTTTAAATACGTATCTATTCTAGACAGATACATTCACATAATCTTTAAAGTTACATTGCTTACTTTGTGTATTTTTAAAGCCTTAATTTTGCCCGTGTGTCTGACATGAGGACCCCGGCAGAGATCTATCAGAGGGCCACACCTAAAGACGAAATGAAAGGGATTTTAACAAAGACAAACTGACATACACACCAGATACATCTAATGATATGTAATATTCTCACCTGTAGACTGTGGTAGTTGGAGTATTCACCTTTTCATTCAATATCCGACATTTGAACTTGTTGTACTGAAAATAGGCAAAAATATTTTTAAGAAAAACTGTCCTTTAATTTTTACCTCTAAGAACTATAGCTAAAACATAACTCAAAGTGTATCTCAACAAAGCACTGTATGAATATAAATGTTGACACTGAATGCTTTAAAAACATGTTGGAATGGTTTGCTAGGAAAAAAATGAAATTTAAAAAAATAAATAAAGACACTTAAATTTTTCTAAAGAACCAAATAGGCTTCAACTTAGTACACTGAACCCCAGTGGTGTCACTTCAACTACCATGAATAAATGATATGTAACAGTGGAGGCAGACACTGTGATTCAATTTACCTTAAACATTTCCAGTAAAGTTTCTTTCTTAACTTCCAGTCTTTCAAAAGCTTGCTTTTCTTTAATGATTTTCTTACATAAAGCCTCCAGAGAAGAGAAATCGTTGCTAGACACGCCCCTGAAGGAGAAGAAAGTATAATCTTTTTATTCCATTCGATCACACCATGGCTCAGAAAAATGTTTACTTGGAAAAAGCATTTTGAATACTTGAAGGGTTTTTTAAAAATTAGACTAAATTCTAAAAAAAAAAAAAAAAAAAAAAAAATTTTTTCCTAAGTAATTTTTACATTTCATATTTTCAGTGGCTTCTACCTTGGTCATCCATGGAGACTTTTCTCACTAGTGACCCCCTTCCTGCAACTCTTTCACCAGGTTTTAAAGGAGAGGGGAGGATCAGTCTCCTTGAATTTCCCAAAATACCTTAGGACTCTACTTCCATCAATCTAGAACAGAGATCTCATTAAATCCTCTACAACTTCAAGAAAACTGCAACACTTCAAGTACTGATAATGGGGATACCTCATGACTAAGAAACAGTGAGCTCCGTATCTTTCCTCGTTTACTGAGAATGCTAAAAATAACTTAGGGACCCATAGTCATTTACTTCATTTTTCTTTATCTAGTTGATAGCTTACCCTTCTTCGAGGTACATGTCATAATAGAATCCATTTTCTATTGGCGGACCGTAACATAAGCATCCAGCCATAGACTCTTTCCATGGCTTCACCCATTATGTGAGCGCTAGAGTGCCAATACACCTGAAAATTTAAAGAAAAGTGGCATGGTCTGAGTATTGGCATACAAGCTATGAATTAATGTGGTTGTCTGAAAGAGACAAAAAATATTACAAGTAAACTCAATATATAAAAATCTAAATTTCTAAATCTATGAACTACTGTGTGTTTCTATCCATAGCCAAACTAATTCAAAAGGCTTCCAATTACTAAAGTGTGTTTTTATTTTGGAAATCATCTGGTTTAGCTGTTTTCAAACAAATTCAACTAAACTTGGCATCATTAATTAGATGGCATTGACTTTGTTCTCTGAAAACAGTTGCTACTCAAAATGTGACTGTCTCATTGACTGCAATGGCCCAGGTTCTTCTGAGTCAATGTGCTCACAGCACCATGTCTCAGACACTGTGACCTGGCCTTCAGCTGGCTATGGAACATCACTTAGAAATTATATGTTGTGGCCAGGCACGGTGGCTCACGCCTGTAATCCCAGCATTTTGGGAGGCCGAGGCGGGTGGATCACAAGGTCAAGAGATTGAGACCATCCTGGTCAACATGGTGAAACCCCGTCTCTACTAAAAATACAAAAAAAAATTAGCTGGGCATGGTGGTGCATGCCTGTAAACCCAGCTACTCAGGAGGCTGAGGCAGGAGAATTGCCTGAACCCAGGAGGCGGAGGTTGCGGTGAGCCAAGATCGCGCCATTACACTCCAGCCTGGGTAACGAGAGAAACTCCATCTCAAAAAAAAAAAAAAAAGAAATTATATGTTGTTACTGGCCCAAAACAAAGGTGGTAAAACCTGACCCCACAACACAATGACAAAACACAAGGACACACATCTGTACACTGAAATCAGATGGTAGTACTTGGTTTTACAGTAATCACTGGGATCAGTCAGAATACACTCAAAGCAATGTTTTCAAGATTTATTATTAAGGTACCAAAGTGACATTAAAAAATTCTCATAAGAAACTTGTGGGCTCCAAAACACATTTGAAACCACTGATCCACATACATAAGTGAACAATCAGAATCAAAACAAAATACTTTGTCTCCCCTTATATGATACATAGCCATGAAGAAATAAAATCTTGTCATTAAACGCAGGTTGATTTTTATACTGCTACCTAGTTTGCATCTTGAGAAAAAAAATATAGAAATTGTTTAATCAAGGAAGTACCTAGAAGTAAGGTTCAAATTTATTTGTCAAATGTACATATCTAGCTAAAGTGTTCATAGTTTAGAGGCCAGGCACAGTGGCTCATACCTATAATCCCAGCACTTTGGGAAGTCAAGATAGGCAGATCACTTGAGGTCAGGAGTTCGAGCCCAGCCTGGCCAATGTGGTGAAACCCTGTTGCTACTAAAAATACAAAAATTAGCCGAGCTGGTAGTATGCTCCTATAATCCCAGCTACTCAGGAGGCTGAGGCTGAAGAATTACTTGAACCTGGGAGGTGGAGGCTGTAGTGAGCCAAGATTATGCCACTGCACTCCAGTCTGGGTGACAGAGAGAGACTCCATCTTAACATAAAACAAAATACAATAAAATATAAAATAAAGTGTTCATAATTTAGAAAACAATTTTTACTTCCTTAATCAATGTTCAATAAAATTCCCAAAACATTTTCCCCACTGAAGTGTCTTAGTAGTGAAAAGACTTATTCAGATTTACCTCTTAATTTTCTAAGGAAAGCATTTTTATTATGTTCCCTAAATGAAGGACAAAATGAAGATTTCAAATATGACAATGAGACAACAATAAATGTCAGCTACCCAATCGCAGCAGTACTGAGCTAGAAAAGACTGCAAATGTGAATCTGTGCCCTAAAATTCAATGAATACGAAATCGGCAACTTACTGCCTGAGCTTCCTCATCCTCAAACTTGAGAAGTGCCAGGGTACAATCTTCTTCCAGAGGGCGGTCCAGGTCCCACACAGCATTATTTACTTTAGCAATAACGGTGTTGTCAGCCAGGCCTTGACTTAAAAAAAAGTGTCCATACATGTATAAACACACAATAATCTAAAAAATAATCTCTTGTAGCACAACACTTAATTTGAAAACAAGAAAATAAACACTATTTTTATTATATATTGATTTTTTATATTGATGTATCTATTTTTCTGAAATAAAATGAAAAAAGAACAAACTCCAAAAACATACCTAAGAATGTAACTGGAAGATCCTAAAAATGCAGAACACTATCATTTGACATGTAGTGAGTGCCTCTTTTTAAGCAGATATGGCAACTCTGATAAATAAGCATGATAAATTTCCAATGGTCTGATTAATAATTTCTCCAAATACATGTTTTTGTTTGTTTCTTTAATTTTTTAGAGACAAGGTCTTGCTATGTTGCCCAGGCTGGCCTCCTGGCCTCAAGCAATCCTCCAACATCAGCCTCCCGAGTAGCTGGGACAACAGGCACAAGTCACTATATCGAGCTTTCTCTTAACACACCCACCTTTCTCTTTGTACAAAGCTAAGTTATTGAGACTCTAAAGAAAAAAAAAGAGACCTACTAAATAACTTCTCTGCTCCTCTTCCTGCTTAAAATGTATACCAGATAACTTTCTTTGACAGACAATGCTAACCTCAGAATAAATTCTGCAAATGACTAAGATGATAGCATTTATAACAAATACAGAAGTAAAATGAAAGACTAATAACTTTTCATAATATGGGTAAAAATATTATTTAGACACCCAATATACAGGATCAAACATAAAGTGTCATTAAGTGATGAAATATCAGACCACACAGAGTGTAAAGCCACAGAAGTTCTGAGGAGAGAAAAGCAGCCCAGGTCAGAGTCATCTGGAAAGGCTTCAAGCACTCATGGGAAGAAAAGGGGAGGTGATGGCATTCTAGATAAGGGAATGGCCACAGATGCAAGCAGAGATGCAAGTGAAGAAAGGTTTGTTCAGGAAGCTGTGTGACTAGAACAGAGTTGAATGAGATGAGCCAGATTGTACATCTGAATGCATAGCTAGAGAAATGACGGTCTGTAATAGTCTGGCATCTCAACAAAGGTAGGCAACAATCCACACTGTGAAGAAAAAGTATACACCCTCTTCATTGTAAGTCTCAAAGAAACCTACCACTAGAAGGCTTCAAGCTACCTAGGCATACTGTGTTGGTCGTTCCTTTTGTGAGGTTTACAACCAAATGTATACAACTTTTCCTATGTAAGGATCAGGAGAGAAGAATGAACAGAAGGTAAACAAACTCCTTTCTATTTTCAATGTTCCTACTGACTTTACCATAGGTTATAGACAACGTTTTCTTTCCTCCTGAGATCAAATGGAGCCAATACAATAAATATATGCATTTCACAAAACATAACATGAATTTGGCAGAGAAATGTATTTTATCATATTAGTGTAAAACGGTTTACAGCAGGCATCCCCAAACTTTTTACACAGGGGGTCAGTTCACCGTTCCTCAGACCGTTGGAGGGCCACCACATACTGTGCTCCTCTCACTAACCACCAATGAAAGAGGTGCCCCTTCCTGAAGCGCAGCAGGGGGCCAGATAAATGGCCTCAGGGGGCCGCAGTTTGGGGATGCCTGGTTTACAGGAGCTTAAAGTAACTGATCAAAAGGTGACTCAATCCCTACATTCTTTGGGAAGAACATGACTTTTATCTTATGATCCAAAATGGAGTCCCAAGATTCTTAGAGTTACTTTGAAAATGCAGATTACACATGGGACCATACTAGATCATTTCAATTTTTCAAAGGGTAAAATGAACTGTAAGATGTATAACAAAACAAAACTTAGAAAAACCTTTGATGCAAATGAAACGTTGTCTTTTCTTTTCCTTCCCTTTCACATACACCACTAATTATCTGAAACTTTAAATAGACTGCTATATTTTCACAAAATAAAAAGTTACTCTGGACTTGTGTAAAAATTTCATCAAGTATTCTCAGTGCAGATCAGTGACTTAACTCCAGAGCTAAAGCCCATCAAAGTTTTATGTAATTCAACTTCTTTTTTTCGAGATGAGTCTTGCTGCCACCGAGGCTGGAGTACAGTGGCTCAATCTTGGCTCACTGTAACCTTCACCTCCCTGGTTCAAGCTATCCTCCCACCTCAGCCTCCAAGTTCTTGGGACTACAAGCGTGCACCACCATGCCCAGCTAATTTTTGTATTTTTAGTTCAGATGGGGTTTCACCATTGTCCAGGCTGGTCTTGAACTCCTGACCTCTGGTGATCCACCTGCCTCAGCCTGCCAAAGTGCTGGGATTACAGGCATGAGCCACTGCGTCTGGCTATGTAATTCAACTTAGAATTTTATAGTTCTCAAAAAATATTTTTCAACTAGAGACTTGATCAATACAATGTAATCTAGATCAACACTGTAGACGGCAGAGAAAAAAATTCCCAGACTAACAGAAGCCTAAATTTTAATGACATGGCTACAATCTCATTGTGTGACAATAGAAGAATCTCTAAATCAACCTGACCTTCAAAATTATCTCCAAAATGAAAAGTTGAACTGATACTTAAAGGTCTATCCAGTTCTCTATGCTCTCACATAGAAACCTGCATGGTATCCCAACTGTTTACTTCCTTTGGCGTATGGTAGAAGTTACAGGTAGAAGCACTTGTCAAATGAACTGAAACACTCCATGCACTTTGTAAAAAGTATTAACCAATGTCTGTGGTACGGCAGAGGGTCATGCCTCACAGGCTTAACTGGTTCTGCTTCTACTAGATGTACAATAGGCTTACCAAGAATCAGCCACGTTAGTTCCCCAAACCTGTTTCTGTGCTTGTTATTTTATGTGTTTGGTTCAACAATACAAAATTGATGATAATCAACCATATGACAATTCATATGGTGATTTCAAATGGTTCAATTCAATATATAACAATTATGAATAAACTTTAAAAAATATATAAAATAATACAATGAGGGAATTATGATTTCTATGAAAACCAAGTTGCATGTTTGAGAAGGCTTGATAAATCCAAATCCAAGTCACACAAACAAAAATACTGTCCAGTTTGGTGTGACTCTACAACTACATGAAAATCTGGAAGGACTTGTGCACTCCGATTACTTCTCAAATGTGTTAAGATAATGTAAGGATTCTAACTAGCACTCACTATCCCCCAAAACCTTGCCATATGGATTCACTATTTCATATATGTATATAAAATTAGCAAATAGATATATATTTACATATTTTTAAATGAAGTGTTTAAAATCAAGATTGGAAAGCTTTTTCTGTAAAAGACCACACAAATATTTCACACAATGCAGGCCAAACATGGTCTTTGTTGCATATTCTTAGTTGTTTTATACTTTCCAACTATTTAAAAATCATTTTTATTTTTGGCTTTCAGGACATACACAAACAGGTTATGACCATAGTTTGCCAACACTTGGTTTAAGACTTTATATATATATATATATATTTATATATATATTTATTTATGTTGTACCAACTATCATTTTGATAAAATGACCAATTACTGATCCCAATCATATCACAATTAAGAAAGCTTCTCCCCTATTACAAAACATGCATCTAATTCTCAGTTAGTTGAGATAACTTCTTCCCACCCCAATAAAAGTTTTAAGACTAGGCACAGTCCTTCACCTGAATTTATAAAAATAGTACATTTTTTTCATGTGTCAGATAAAGTTTCTCAACCTTTCCATGTGAGAGTATCTAGCTTCATTTTTAACTTCAAAACCAAGACATTTAAGTAAAAATAAGTAAACACTGTCTATTTGGTTTTGTAACATTTATAAGCGAAGTAAGACTAACAATATAAAATGTTCCATAAGATAATAAGACCAAAATGAACTCTTTCAGAAATTAACTTTGAATTTTGACTACAAAGTTCCGTATCATTTTGATTTTTAAAAAATCTCAAGTAGGCCAAATTAAACAGATTAAAAACACTGAACAGTAACATAAAAAATATTATAAGAATAAAACATGGCAGAATATTAAAGGAAGTTTAGTTAGGTCGCAAACTATAGAAGGTCATGATGAGTGTAGCTTATACCTAATTCCACAGGCAATTTGATATGGTGTAGTTTTCCAAGATTCCGCATCAACCTGTTTACCATCAGGCAAAGTGACTTTAATTGGCTTGCTATCTTTTTCTGCCTTTTCTGCCAGAATAGAATCATGTTCTGCTTTTAGTATATTGTACATCTCAAGACGTGTGTAAATATACTCAGGCCAAGGATTCAACTGCAAGACAATAAATGAGAAAATAAATAATCAGTAAATATTGCTTTCCTATTTAGAAATGGGAAAGGAATAATAAAAACAATACAGAAACCCACAACTATTGATTCATTGTGGTAAATAAACACACTGCCAAAATCACCAGGCATTACCTCAATTTGGTCCTAAATGAAGGTTAAAAAAAAGGAGTTAAATGCCCCATTCTTATGCTGAATTGACAATTACCATTTTGCTATTATTTACAGCAAGTGGTCTTTTCTCTTTTAAGATGCTTTCTTAGTATCTTTTCTAACTAACTTACTTTACATATAGAGCTATAAACAATACTGGAAATATAAACAATAAACTGGCTTTTCCGTTTTGTTTCAGTCATGTCCAGGTGATGGTCTGTGCAGCTGGTCAGCCTATATGTCCACTCACAACCAAATCACAAATTTATTTGACTTAAGGTCTCCCCTTCAAGGGAAGTATTTACTGAATTCAAAGATGCCACGATCACCTTGGAGTATTTAATTAGTAAATATAATAAAACAGCACACTACTACTTTCTATTGTAGATAAAATTAACAGAAACATTTTACATAAAACACCCACTTAGTTTTCTGAAGGTTTGGCTAAGAAAAAAAAGAGACAGCAATCAAAGAGCTGACTTCCTTCACTGTCAGAGACTCTATAATCTATGGAACATTCCAAAAAGGCAGTGAATCTGTGGTAACAAATTAGTCAAACTTCTAACATCTACAGCATTTATAATCTTTAGATTACATCAATATTAACACTGCATACAAAAGTGAAGAGGAAATTGCTCAATTTTGCCATGACTTTCTATCTTCAATAAATTTCAATTTATCAGATATAAAATGACTTACTGCAACACAGATTTTAACATTTGTTCAATGTTGATAAAATGCTACCAAAACATCCCCATATATATCAACATACCACAATTTGAAAGGAGTACACAAGCTAATATCTAATCCTTAAGAAACTGACTGGGGCCGGCCATGGTGGCTCATGCCTATAATCTCAGCATTTAGGGAGGCCAAGGCAGGTGGATCACTTGAAGCCAGGAGTTTGAGACCAGCTAGGCCAACATGGCAAAACCCTCTCTCCACTAAAAATACAAAAGTTAGCTGGGAGTGGTGGTACACACCGGTAGTCCCAGCTGCTTGTGGGGCTGAGGCATAAGAATCGCTTCAACCTGGGAGGTGGAGGTTGCAGTGAGCTGAGATCATACCACTGCACTCCAGCCTAGGCAACAGAGTGAGACCCTGTCTCAAATAAAACTAAACAAAACAAAACTGACTGGAGATAAGAGAAAATAACATCAAATGAAAAAGATTCATGGTCTGCCCAGCTTGGGTACAGAGGTTTCTGATGGTAATGATTATCCACTATCTTAATCTTAAAGGTTAACAACATTTCTCTAAATAAAATAGCAAAAAAAGAAAAAAAAAATCCATAACATTAAAATAAATATGTCTTTATATTTCATCCTGCTCAAACATGCCAGAATTAAGTTTCCTATGTGAGGTAGTATTTTTATCTTTTATGCCACTCACACAAAATTTGTTTCTGTCATGTTTTTTGAAATGGAAGTCCCTAATTAATTCCTTCACTCCCTCCTCCTTTCCAGTCTTTTTTAATTACAGGGTCGCACTATGTTGCCTAGGCTGGCTAGAGTGCAGTGATTATTCACAGGCAAAAATCACAGCGCATTTCAGCTCCAAACTCCTGGGCTCCAGTGATCTTCCTACTCAGTCTCAAGTGGTTGGCCCCCATCATCATACCAGGCCCTAATATCTTTATAATTCCCACCCACAGCAGTCCCTCCCTTTCTTTAGTCTTTCGGTTGCTCTTTGGGAGCTTTTCATCAAATTATCACAATGGTCCATTATCTTCAATGGTGAAGAACCCAGGAATTCACTAAAGCTCAGAGCCTGTCATTCTACAAGCATAATCTGAACCTCTCAGACTAAAGCACAGTACCTGGTTCTAGCCACTTGAAAGCATCATTATAATCCTACCCAACTGCACTAACCTCTGTATCTTAACTGCATTTTATCATCACAGCCACTTGGCATGTCCTAATTAGAATTCAGTGTCAAAATTTCTTCAACATTCATTCAGCAGATACTCTCTGTGGCAGGCTCTGTGACTGCAGAGATGAATAAAACCTGCATGTTGCCCTTGAAGGGGAAGGCCAAGGACAGTTCACTGTAAACTCTTTTTTCCAGACCAATCGTTAAACATAAACAATCACATGTCCCACTTAAAATTCTCTGTTCAGAAGAGTCCTCTAATTACACTCTTTGTCTTATTTCCAGGCCAATTCTCAAGCTGTGATGGAACAGCATGTATAACATGCTTGTATTGAAAGTATGAAAAAGAAGCTAGAGAACATAAGCATTTTTCCATTTGCTTGCAAATTTTAAAACTCACAATCAACAATTTTCTTCACAATTACACTGGGGTTAACGTTAGGGAGAGTGATCAAACATAAGAGAAATGGTTAGGTAGGGCTCTAAGCAACACTACACTCGATCATCTATAAAGGTACCCTAAAATAAAAATAAATGACGTATCCTAAAATAAATGATGGCACTATAAATTTAGCAGTTGCAACATTTGTAAAAGTGGCTCTTAAAAGCCAGCTTACTGTGCTACTTCTAAAACGGCTGTTCCTTTGTGCTTCTTCCTTCTGGTGGCTTTCTAAAGAGTCTCCAATAAAGCAGCTGTAATGACTAAAGCAAAAAGTGAAGCGCAGTTCACAGCAGTAAAAATAAAGTAGAAAGGCAAGCTTAACTGCCTCCAGAAGGAAAATACTCAGGAACCAGGTTGATTCAGGGCTGGCTTTTGATATGCCAGTTCCTTTCAGAGTGAGCCTAGGGAAGTGAAAGCATTTTCTCCAGACTTGAGAGGTCTTAAGGGGATTTGTCCTGGCTTAGAAGCCAGCCCCAGGGCAGGTCCAGATGGAAAGGGCAAGAAGCAGATCAAAACACTGACTTTCTTTGGCTTCCATTGTATTCAGTGTAGGCCCAAACACCAAATCTTTATTCCCTAACATCTCTTTTAATGAAATGATCAGAGAGCTAGCATCACATCTGGCAAATGAATAATTACCAGTCTCCTCTTCAACTTGTGTTCTGATTTTTATATTCAACCCCACAATCAGATCATCTTATGTAATCATAATCCAGTTGCTTTCTTTTGCAGTAACAAACAACTGAAAGTCTTTTCTTCACCTCTCAGATTATCCTTTCCTAATTCTTCTTCCTGATTTTCCCAACCAGAACCATCTTCCATCATGTAGACAATTAGAAATCTTACATATTTGGAAGGTCTGAAAAAGTTTCCTGCAATTTGCCAACCTTTGCTAACAGAGCCCTCTGTGACGATAACGTTTACCTCAGCTCGACCTCCATCTCCAGATCCTTCTTTGTTCTTCTTCTTGCCTCCTTCCTTTCGCTTCTCCTCATCAGCACCAATCTAAATAAGCAAAAAAACGTTTTATGTTTTAATCTAATGTGACACCCCCACCTTATGATGCCCCAGGAAAAGTACTGATAATGTTATTTTAGCATTTGTTATCTAATTTTTAAAATGGAAATCCGATTTTGAAAAACTGAACAATTTCATGACCGGCAAAGACAGGTTAACAACTTAAAACAAAGACAAGTATTTAAAGAGTAGAAAAAAGTTACTACTTTTTTCTAGTTAAACTTCATTTATTTTACTTTAACTATTCCCATGACTCTCGCTTCAGGTTTACTTGGACCACGTACTAAACTTATAGCCAAAAGGCAACATGTAGTTGATTCAATAAGCCTATTTCCAGGAGAAAAAAAAAAACAAAAAACTGAATGCAAAGTGTACCTATCAATTCCACCAGTGCTACCAAAAGCCATGGAAGAAGCAAACATAAGACCCAATCCCTTCCATGTGTAAACCTAGTCTCTCCAAGGAAACTAGGGCATACATGTGTGAGAAACTCCTGGAGAAAACAACACAGTAGCAGTGCTATGATTAGCTGTCAAATAAGCTGAGACTAGCGTAAGGACTTTAAAGGATGGAATGCATTTCAACAGGTGGATTCTGAGAATAGAGGCAACGTGTCCTGCGTACCACATAAGCTTGTTGTCAGAAATGCTAAAATTTAATAAGAGAGGAAAAATAATTAAACCAGGTTGATTAATGAAGGACTGCTTTAGAAAGTAATGCAAGGTAAGACAGACTAAGGCTGACAAAAGCAAGAACTACAAGTTACTATAAGGAATAGAGACTTTAATGAGAAGCAAGTGAAGTCACAGAAAGTTTTAAAGTAATAAATCCTGTACCAGGAATATAAAGGAGGGAGGATTTTATTTAGTTTGCACATTTGTGACCTTTAGATTTTTCAAATTTTATTAAGAGACAATTCATACACCACACAAGTTATCCATGTGAAGTATATAATTCAATGGTTTTTAGGTATTCACAGTTGTGCAAGTATCACCACCATCAATTTGAGAGTATTTTCATTACCCTCAAAAAGAAACCTAGTACCCATTAGCAGTTCACTCCCTGTTGCCTTCATCTCCAGACCCTAACAACCATTAATCTAGTTTCTGTTTCTATGGATTTGCCTATTCTGGGAATTTCATATAAAGACAATCACACATTATGTGGTCTTTTGTGACAGGCTTCTTCTAGTCAGAAAAATAATTATTTGATCATGAGGTTGGAACATGTATCATTATTGTCACTGTACCTTTTAATTATCAAATAATATTCCATTGTTTCCTTATCCACTAATCAGTTGATGGACATTTTCTTTACTTACATTGTCTTTTAAATCCTGTAAAACATGTTACTTGTATGATTTAAAAAACAAATTTTGAAATATGACCCCTAATTTCATGCTGAACTAAAATCCCCCGTACTCCAGGAGTCTGGATTTAGTAAACTTTAAAGGTTCATTTAGATTCGATAAATCCCTTGTTATACTGCAGAAGTGATTTAACTAGTCAAGTATACTGGGTAAAAATAAAAATTAATTGTAGGTCTGTGTAGGTTTAAAATGGAAAGTGAATAAAATAAGTTTTATATTTCTGATAAGATTATTTTTGATTTTGACCACTTGCCAAATGACCAGGGGTAGTGAGAGAGACAATCACCTCAAAGATTTTCTGGTTCTAATACTGTTCCCTAATACAAACGAGAACATTGGCTCAAAGAAGTAACTTGTCCATTTGCTGGGACATTACAGCAGGTCTCTCTGGAATCCTGAGGCCTATTACCTCTTTTCTACATCTCTGGGAAGAGAATGGGCAACTGTTTTCTATTTCTCTGAGAATATGTGTTACGTACATCTACATAAAAGTAATCTAAAATTTCAACCCAAAAGTTGAGAAACAGAACTGGATTATGAAGAGAAGCTAAAGAATTACCTTTTTCAGGAATGATCTGTCCCTGACTCACTCAGAACAGCACAGAGGTTATGATTATTGGCAATAAGATGTTGAGTTTGAGGTAGAAACAAACAGGGAAAAAAGTAAGGGGACACTGGGTTTGAGCAAGTTACTATTCCAGTGCCTGCTTTCTCATCTGTAAAATGGAGATAATAACAGAATCCAGTTCATAGCTTTATGAAGACGACTGAATGACTTAACTCATGGAATGCATTAACACAGTGCCAAACTCAATTACGTATTTATTAACCATACATATCACTTCCAATTAAGAATAGCAGGGGAGAATATGGATACGAAAAGTTACTGACACATCCTATTAAGAAAAAAAAAAAGTTACAAAACAGTAACAATACAATTTTTATGTGAAAAAAATCTAAATCTATGTATAGTGTATGTATTATGTATGTAAAATCTATGTATAATGATACTATTTATCATCTAGAATTAAACTTACGTATTTTACAATGTACCCATATGCAGTTTCTCCATTCAATCCCAAGTGGACAACCAAGAAAAAACTTCGGCTTCTAAGTGACTTGTCCTGTCACAGAGCTGGGATAGGGGCTCCCTTATCTGAAAATGTCACCACTTCTCACCTGGACTATTACAACAGCTTTCTGCATGTGGCCTCAGCTTCTACCCCAATGCCAGCATGATTTTTACAAATACAGTCTTCCCGCTTAAGGTCCTTCATGCATAGAATACAAATATCAAACATCCTTGTTGCCTAAGATCCTTCTGATTGTCGTACCTTCCCACTGAGGCATATATATCTCTTGCAAACAACCCCAAAGACAATTCACCTGCGTGTCCCTTTTCACCGCCTTCCCTACCTTTACGTGGGAAGCCCCGTCCTGCCTGTTTTACCTGGTGAAATCATTCTTCCACACTCAACTCGAAAGAGCCCTCCCAAGCTCCCTCTTCTGTAGTCCCACACGGTTGACCACAAAGCACTGGGGCTGTTTTCCTGTCTCTTACACACCAGGCTGTGAGGCCCTCAAAGTCTGGTAACTGGGTCCTATTCATCTTCCCACTTGCATCGTCCAGCTCAGTGCTGGGCAGAATGTATACTTAACCACCCAAACTTGGACAAGTTGGGTCAGATCTCATGGACACGATTTTCCTTAAACTAGAGCTCTTCATCCCTGCAGAATCTTAGGAGATTGATTAAATAAGGCTCTGCTATGCGTTTCCCCTTACAATACGCCCTAAACGCAACTTTGGAAGCCCCAAGCCTAAGATTCTAACTCTGTCTCCGAGTCTAACTAGATGTCTGTTACCTCATCTGTAAAGAGAATGGACCCAGAGCTGAACTGCTAGGCACCACCCCTATTTATGAATGAACGGTTCCCAAACGGATCTCTGACTTTCCAGGCGTTCCACCATCCCCCACCTCCTCCGCGCAACGCGGTCCCGGCCGCTTCCTCCTTCCTGGCCCCACGCCGAGCGTAGCGTCTGCACCCACGAGAGTCCCAGGTCGGTCTCTGGGCCCCACCAGGTCTGCTCACCGGCTTCTCCTCGCTTTCCATCTTCCCTGAAGAACTGCTGGGCTGCTCCTCAAACATTGGTGAATCACGAAGCGATGTGAGAACCCGAAAACGACAGTCTAGAGGAGAGGAGCAAAGAGGCGGAACGGAGATGGGCCAGAGCGCCCGGGAACACTGCGCTTGCGCCACTTGGCTTCCACAGGATTAGCTGATGCAATCGAAAGGCGCCCTAACTCTGCCCGCAACCTGCGGCGTAACGGGCAGCCAATGGACAACAGGGGAAGGCGGGCCCTCCCCCCTCTAAGCCAATAGAAAGGCTTGTTGGGTGACAGCCCTTCTAGGAAATCTGGGCGCGGTGGATGAGGAGGGACAACTGCAGAAGCTGTACGCATAGTCTTTGCGACCTAGGTCTGGACGCTTTCCAGAGTCAAGTCCGCAATGCGCGTGCGCTTTTCTCCCTTCTGCCTTTCTGTCTCAGAGTCACGGACCTTCCCGGACACCGTAGATAATACGACGGTCTTTGTCTAAACTTCCGGAAAGTTTTCGGCGACTTGGTTACCGTCTCCAGCACTGGGACGAATCCACCGTGGAGTTCAAGTTTTCCCGAGGCGTCGGCGCTTCCTGACCTAGCTTGACTCCCCACTTCTGAGCCCCCCCCAGGCCTCGGGCTCCTATCTGTAGTGATGAATCTAGCCTTCCTGATGGCAGTCTAGGCTCCACAAGCCCGAAGTCCTGGTGATTTGGGACAAACCCTTCCTTGAACATTCTTCACTACGAGCCGCCCTGATGTGTACTGCCTGGAAGAGAATTTCCATAGCGCCCGCAAAAATACAATAAAGCTCACCCAAGGAAATAAACATGGATTCTCCCGCCTAGGTGACAGTGGAATCGACTGGGCCTTTTAAATTTATGTTAGTAGGCAATTTAAAACAATTACTTATTTGAAATCAGAAGCGCAGTGGGCACATTTTCAGGTACATGCTCCATCAACACGTTTTGTGGATTTTTCTTTTTAAACATCAGTTCTGTTTTCTACAACTCAGCCTTCGGGGTCATCCTTTCCAGGAACAGTAGCTTCCTAGTTCGGCTTTCTGCATCCATTTTTTTCGTACAGCAGCGGTGTAGTCTTCAAATACAGATACGATCACGGCAATCTGCTGAAAAATCTTTGGTGGCTTTTCCTTGCTCTTAGAATAAAAATACGCTCCTGGTTGTCGAAGTTTTCAGCTTCATGTCGTTCCCCCACCAGTCTTTCGCTGTTGCCCAGGCTGGAGTGCGGTGGTGTGATCATAGCTCACTGCAGCCTTGATCTACCATGCTTAAGTGATCCTCTCGCTTCAGCCTCCTAAATAGCTGAGATTATAGGTGCAAACCGCCATGCTTGGCTAATATATATCTATTTTAATTTTTAATAGACATGAGGTCTATGTCACTCAGACTGTTCTAGAACTCCTGAGCTTAAGCTATCCTCCTACCTTGCAAGTTTACAACTTTTTATATGTTTTTATCTACTTGATTGAAAACTTCACAAAAGAACACTTGGTGTATTTTTGCCAGCACCTGGAAGATGTAAACCCAGCACATGTTCAATAAATGTGGAGTGTTGAGACAAAACTTGCTTAATTTTTCAAGTAAGATTTGGAAAATTACCTCTTAATTTGTATTATAAAAGAAGTCAAAACCCCTTGACTAACTAGATCTAGAAGAAAGTTTATGGTGAGAGTAAATTATTAGTACTGCTTGATGTTCCAGGAGTTATATACAATTTCAATAGACTTTAATAGACCAAACTAACTTCCCACGTTTAAATTAGAATGAGAATCAACGGGATCTAATCTTACTTTCTAATGTAAAACAATTTAATTATGCCCGTTAGACATATTTGCCTGAATTGTGTCTTAATTTTAAATAAGCATAATGAAAACCAGAGAGATCAAGATTACTGAATTTGCTAGATGCAGAAAATTATAGGCTAACAATTATATTGAACTGCTATATAACATGGTTTCTAGCAGCTTCTCTTAACCCCTTGTTCTCTTTCAACTTTAAAACCAGTCCTCATTTAAGGATGGCAAAAAGAAAAAGCTGGAGGCATTTCTAACAGGTTGACTGGTGCCGGAACAGAGGAAGCTGTAATGAGTTGCTAGTGTGGGAATCTCCCGTTAGGTCTATCCCGGTGGCACAGTGCCCTCTGGTGTTAGGAAGATGTTCTTTCACTATGTGTGTGTTTAGAACTAAACAAAGATCATGAAAGCTTCCAACAGATCTTAGACCTAAAGCACAAAATACTGTTATGCAACTTTTGTGTATTTGCCAACAATAAAACTGCTGACTTACTTCCAGTGTTATAATTTCTTCCCATTGTATTAGTCCATTCTCACACTGCTACGATACCTGAAGCTGGTTAATTTATAAAGGAAAGAGGTTGAATTGACTCACAGTTCTGCATGGCTGGGGAAGCATCAGGAAACTTGCAATCATGGCAGAAGGTACCTCTTCACAGAGCAGCAGGAGAGAGAATGAATGCCAGCAAGGGAAATGCCAGATGCTTATAAAAACCATCAGATCTCGTGAGACTCACTAATTATCACGAGAATAGCATGGGGGAAACTGCCCCATGATCAAAATACCTCCGCCTGGTCCCACCTTTGACACATGGGGATTATGGGTATTACAATGCAAGATGAGATTTTGGGTGGGGACACAGCCAAACCATATCACCCACTACCCTACATACTTTAATTTTTTTTAATTTTTTAATTATTTTATTTTTTTATTAAATTTTTTTTATTTTTAAATTATTTTATTTTTTTATTATTATTTGTAGAGACAGGGTCTTGCTTTGTTGCCCAGCTAGTCTCAAACTCCTGGCCTCAAATGATCCTCCCACCTTGGCCTCTCACTCTGGGATTACAGATGTAAGCCACAGCACTGACCTCCTACATACTTTTTAGGAAAGTGGCTGTCAATAGCTCTGCCTTGACAAGTCAAGCAAAATTATGTGACATGATAAAAATATTGTTAAAAATAATAGGTTTGTACGTAACTATCTCCGTGGATTCAGGGACAAAAGAATCTTCTTCATTGTCAATCCTTAATTACTCATTTGAATAATTTTTGCTTCTGGTTTCTATAACCTTTGGCTGGATTATTTTGAAGAAACTAGTCCATAAGGGAAGAATGCTTCTATCAGGGAGCACAGTCATGGTTCTGATGAATTGGCCTAACAGTACACTCTTATGTGGGGCTTCACATGCTACTGCACTCATAGGCAGAATTGGGGGTTGTTTTTCTGGACAGAGTGATTGATCCTGACTACAAGCAGACAAATGGGTTTCTACTACATAATGGAGAATTTTGTCAAGAACCTAGGAGATTCACTAAGACATTTTTTCGTACTTCCTTGTCTAATGTTCTGCTGTTGGAAAACTCTGGGAACACAGCAAAGACGAGGAAAGAAGGAAGGTTTGGGCTACCCTTCTAGGTAAAGGATCCAGTATAGCCAGGTCCTGACAAAGGCTAAGGGTAACTTGAATAGATTCTAGGAGAACAGAGTTATGCAATATTAGCTACATAATTTTCAGAGCCCAGTGCAAAATAAAAATGGGGGGCTCCTTGATAATTTCAATATAATAGGCACAGCAGAGCCGCAACCAAGTGCAGAGCACTTCTAAGTGTTGAGCCCTGTGCAACTGCCTAGGTTGTACATCCATGGAGCTGGTGCTAGTGCTGTGATTGCTAAATTAGCTCTCATGACCAGAAAGATGTATGGCCTGTAGACGTCATGTTTCTTGTCACGTTTTTTTTCCCACTCCCCCAACTTTTCCTTATGTATATCATATATAAAGAATACTAGGGGTGGCTGACATTTTATTTCTCATAAGGGAATGTGATTGAATCAAGATCACTTCATGATGATGCACAGTCTGAAGGGACTTCATGTGCCTCTTGTGTTGGAAGCACACACTTTTCATGTGGATGATAAGCTATAGAGGATGTTGAAGGGGAAAAGGTGTGGCCTGTACCAGTGGACTCCTGGGCCACTGGCTTCCAGTTGCTTCCAGCCAATGAGACCCTCAGCAGGAGTTGGGAGGGAAGAAAACAAAATCGGGAAGTGTATTAACCTGGCTCTTCCCTGGGAGGAGGTTGCCTTGGGCTGTTTATGTTTCACAACCAAAAGTCACTGCTGATCTCATAGCAATCTCTATACAACACTTCCCTTTTAGGTTCCTGCAAACACTGGCTACCCTCACCCTGCCTGGCCTGAAGTGGTTAGGGTCCTGGTTCCCTGTACTTCCCATCTCTTGTAAATAAACCCTTTTTAAATTGCTCTAACTCGAGTGTGCCCTCTGTTCTCTGTCAGAAACTTGTGTGCTATCATCACGTTCCTCAGCTATAAAATGTTGACAAAAATAATAAACTTGATTCCAGAAATTGTTGGGAGAATAAAATGAAAGTATATGTATAAAAAGTACTTTGCAAATTCTAACGGGCTATAAAAGTTAATTATGTTTGGGGAAATGAATGCTCTGGCCAGTTACCCTCTCTGGTTTACTCTAGATTTGTTTGGAACAATTCTGAATAATATTCCTAAATTAATTTTCATTTCTGTCATATCTCTTCTTTGCTGAGAGCTTTTGCTATGATTTAACTGTGTCCTCTAAAGTTCATGTGTTGAAAACTGAATCTCCAATGCAAATGTTGGGACAGTGGAGCCTAGTAAGAGGTGATTAGGTCATGACAGCTCTGCCATCATGAATGAAGTAATGCCATTATCTTGGGAGTGGGTTCGTTATCGTGAGAGCGGGCATGTTTTAAAAGTGAGTTCGACCTCCTCCTGCTCCTTTGCTCTGGGAGCTCTCTTGCCTTTTCACTTTCCATCATAGAATGATGCAGCAAGAAAGACTTCACTGGGAATAGGCCCCTTGACCTCGGACTTCCCAGCCTCCAGAATTTAAGAAATAAATTCATTCTCTTTATACATTTCCTAGCTGTGGTAATCTGTTACAGCAATACAAAATGGACTAAGCCAGATTTAAAATAGCTTTGAGATGCCTAGCTATATGAGGAATACATTCTGGACAGCTTTCAGAGGTCCTGAACCTCATCTCCAAAGGGCATGCTTTCCTCCAAAGTAAGTCGTACATTTGTAGAATTGTGCATTTGTCTTTGGTGTTCCTCCCTTCTCATTTCTTTGCAGAGTGTCTGTGCCATTCCCTGAAGGTACTTGAGCACCTGACACTTTTCTTCGTCTACCTCCTTCTATAAAAAACACTTTCCAGGAAAGGCTCTGAATTCGTTTTTACTAAATAAATGGAATTCATGTTTACTAAATAAATACAGAACTTGAGTGCTTGCTGGTAAAGAATCACCTGGTTCTCT